GAAACACAGGCACTGCATGTCTGCTCTGCCAGAAATAAGAAAATCTGTGGGAACTAATAAAAGCGTCTGTGAAGGAGGTTCCCATGTTAGAAACCGGTTTTAGTAAAACAGAATTGGTGAGGGGATTGTGGTTAACCCTACAGAACTCAATCGTACAGACCTCTTGCCCCACGGCACCGTACAATCTTGTCTCCCAGTATGTCAACCTTCTAGAACCTTCAGGCTTCCAAAATAACCACGGTCCCAGATAACAGGCAGAAAAACAAAACAGAAAGCCTAGGCAGCATCTCAGCACCCGGCAAAAGCCTGGGAGATGACGTCTGATGTGCTCTGATTACTCTGGTTCTGTTAATGAAAAGAAATGTGTTCTGATTGACTGGCACAGTCTATAAAAAGGCCAATGTTTTCAGGCTCAAGTGACAAGGGAAAAGAGCCCAGGAAGCAGACAGAGAGATCTGCAACCAGTAAGGGCCAGCCTGCCGGGGCAGGGGGAAGGTAGGAAGGGGGAGCGGGTTCAAGATGCACAAGTGGCTGGGACAGGCTCCATGGGGCAGGCCTACCCCCATACCAGGCAGGTCAGCATCCACAGCACAAGATAACATTGGAAGAAAGCAAGAACAAACTATAGTCCATTTCAGAATGATTTCCATGCCAATACAGCTAAAACCATTTCAGTATAAACACTCAACCATTTAGAACACTGGCCTAGCCAGAGTGACTCACTCTCCAAGACAACTAGAGAACCAGTAATAATAACAAATTGCTTTTAACCTCCGCTCATTTGGGCTCCCCAAAAACCCCAACAGGGGGTGTTACCAGACGCGGCCTGGAGAGGCTCGGGACTATGAAACGTGTGAGGCAGGCGGTAAAGCCCACCACCACCACACCACGCTGATACGTCGAGTTCCCTGGCCTACTCCGACTTCTTCAGGGCCTTACTGATGCCTCGAGAATAGACTGTGAACTGCTCAGCTTGGCATTTAAAACCTCCCACTAACTGGCTCCCATTTCCCTTTCCAGCCTTGTTTCAGATATTCGATATTATGGTCAAACTGGATTATTCACTGCCCCTTGCAGGTGGCCCCTCTGACTTCATCTTCCTTTATCTTCCTCTGGAAATCCGTCTCACGTTTCAGAGCTCAACTCAGAGGCCGCTCACTCTCATGATGTCTTCCCTTCAAAGGTGTTGGTGCTCTTTCCTCAAATTACCTCAAGTTCTCTTTTGAAGCTCCTGAATCTCTCATGCCTATTACATGCCTATTGCCAAATTGAATATTGGAGTTATTCTGCTGACTACCAAAAGTGGTGCTGTCCTAGAACTTGATTCATTTCTCTCTCTCTTTTTTTTTTCCTTTTTAGGCAACTGGGGTTAAGTGACTTGCCCAGAGTCACAACAGCTAGTAAGTGTCAAGTGTTTGGTCTGAGGCCGGATTTGAACTCAGGTCCTCCTGACTTCAGGGCCAGTGCTCTATCCACTGTGCCACCTAGCTGCCCCCTAGGCCTTGATTCAAACCCAAATGTTGTGACTCCAGACAATCCAGGTGGGCTCATACGCCAGGCAACATGGAAAAGGGACAGCAGGACTCTGCCCTCTCTGCAGCCCAAGATGCATTTTCTTTTTGCTTATCAGCTGGTTTTGCCGCCCTGCTGTGACCTAAGAGGCTGCCGCCAGGGATGCACTAATCAGTGTCTGTGACAGCAAGAAGTAGTACAGCCCAGGCTCCTGGGTGCCCCTCATTGGAAAAATGGTATCTCCGCACACGCATGGGAGATGGGCATGGGGAGAGGACCCTGACCCGTCACCCGAAGTGGCCAAAAAGGCCCCAGACCTGCAGTCAGAGATCTGGCTTGGAATTCCACCTCCGCCAACTTGACCGGAGCTGAGTCCCTGGAAAGCTGGGCTTCCTTCAGCTTACTCCTCCATGAAACGGGGGGCACTGGGCTGGCAATCTTGACCTCCCAAAAGTGTTGTAGGAATCAAGAGAGCCAGTGTCTGTCAATGCTTCAGTAAGCTTTAAAACCCTTGTTAAGCGTCAGCTCTTAGGGTGACTCTAGCAGGGAGGGAAGGTCTCTTCATTCACTGCAGGCCAGCCCCCTCTAAAGCAAAGCGCTTCCCATCAGGTCATCCCAGTTTGACCGCTCTAAGACTCTCTGGCCCTCGGTACTCTGACCTCCCTAAAGAAATAAGCCGCTGCCACCTTAGCTTCTCCAGAAGCAGGAGACAAAGTGCTCCCCCAGGAAGAGCCTGGGCTGACCAGCCACACGAGCATCCCATGCCACCAAGACGTTTATTCCTCAGGGTAAGGCAATAAGCTGGCATTCTGACTTAGAATGCGATCTCAGCTGTCGGTCTGCTTAGTGTGAAACAATAGACTAAGATCTATCTGACCTGAGTCGGGCAGTAAAACACTTCACGACCTCCAAAGCCGATGAGCCAGACATCAGATATTTGGGGAACCCGGCTGCCAGTGTGGAGAAGTTCACAAGGGCCTTCCTGGGACTGCCCAGATTTGTCCCCGTAAATCTCAGTGACACACCCTCCCGACAGGCACATTTTCATCCACTCCTCCGTGAACAACATCCTCAGGGAAATGTGTGCACCAGAGGAGGTGGGCTGGACAGACTGAGGGTGGTGCTGCTTCCTTTTAAATAAAACCAGAGGAAGAGCCTGGGTGGATCCTGCCCCAGGGGATGGCCTAGGAGCAATGGGAGCAAGGGGGGCCACGGAGATGGGATTTTACATTGTCCTAGAGTAGAGGTGTCAAAAGGATCCCTACAAGGCCATGTGCTGACTTAGAAAACCACAAATTCACATTATCTAGGTCGTACTGTGTTTGTATTTATTTTGTTAACTATTTATCAATTACATTTTAATCTGGTTCAGTTTTACAGGAGCATGTTGGACCCCTCTGGCTTACAGCAATTTTCTAGTCACTCACAGGTGGAATGGGCTGCCTAGGCAGGTAGTAAGCTCCCCTCACTGGAGCCTTTGATAAGTCCACCTGTTGGGGTCAGGTCTGGGTTAAATCAGATGCTCACTGGGGTCCCTCTCGACTTGAAATTCTGTGATTCTAGAATCTATGGAAGGGCACAGACAAAAGGATGTCCCAGGATGAAAAGTCAGAGAGGGGCTGCAACCTGGGCCTTTGGAGGGAATGTCCATATGGACCTTCTAAGTAAAACCCTTTCACCGTGGCCCGGGGGAATCCTGGTATTTTTATTTCCTAAGGAAGGGTTAGGAGAAACATCTCGTTCCCCACAACAAACTGCAGCCAGAACCACAGTGTGCCATAAGGAGAATTCACGAGATGCCAGCACCCTGCCACCTTCTTCCCTGAAACAGGACCTCCCTGGCAGGATCCTGGTGCCCTTGCTTGGGAATGGCCCACCCAGGCCCTGGCCCAGGAGACTCCAATACTCCCTGTTCCATAACTGGATCTCCTCCTCCTGATACCCAGTCCCGTTCTGCTCTACTTGAAACAAGACCCTCCATCCTGATGTCTCCGGGATCTCGCTCCTCTTTATCTCCCAAAGGAGATAAATCTTTCTCCTGGCATCCTCCTGGCCTGCACCCAAGAATACTCTGCACATTCACTCCCAGACAGGTCCTTCCCTCTTGGAAAATGGAACTTCCTCGCCACCAGCAAGCAGACAAGAAGCAGCCTCCCCTCCCCCTCCTCTCTGAGTCAGGGCCTGCCACATGTAATACTGTAGGCAATTCTAGACACTGAGGACGACGGTAAAGAAGAATGGTCATTGCCTGCCTCCAAGGAAGGTCACTGGCAAGTCACGAGAGAGCTGGTGCTGAAAACGTACACAAGGCTTCAAAGAGGAGATGCTGGGGGGCTGGGAAGGGGGGGAGACACCGAGATGTCTTCACCAACCAACTGACTTCACAGAGGAGCAGCCAAAGGCCCGTTGGGCTGTACACCCGCCTCCCTTTCTAGCCTCGCTCCAGGGTCCAGCCACAGCCTGTGCCTGCACTCCTGGGACCACCCCCCTCTTCTCCTCGGCCAAGCCGGAGCACCCCTCCTCCCTGGAGCCCCCGCTCTGGGCTGCCTGGAAGTCATTTACATACATGCACGTACACGGGGATCCCAGAGGGCGCCCCCCGAAGGTGCACTTTGTCTCCCCCCACCCTTCCCCATCACAAGGCCTGACACAGAAGGGGTGTGTGACGCTCGGTGCACATGTATGATCACCAGAGACAGCATTCGAACTCAGGTCTTCCTGACTCCAAGAGCAGCACACCAGAGGCTCCGTGTCACCTAGTCTCTCTCCTGAACTAGCTCAGGGCCTGGAGTGGCCGCCTCCCGAGCCCCTCCAGCCCTCCTCTCCCGTCTCTGTCTCCCCCGGATCTCTCTGTCTCCCCCCCCCCCCCCGGGCCTCTCCTGTCTCTGTCTCTCCCCCGGGTCTCTCCGTCTTTGTCTCTCCTCCAGGTCTTTCCCATCTCTGTCTCCCCCGGGTCTCTCTGTCTCTCCCCCTCAGTCTCTCCTGTCTCTGTCTCCCCCGGGTCTCTCTGTCTCCCCCTCCTCAGTCTCTCTTGTCTCTGTCTCTCCCGGGGTCTCTCTTGTCTCTGTCTCTCCCCCGGGTCTCTCCGTCTTTGTCTCTCCTCCAGATCTTTCCCATCTCTGTCTCTCCCTCGGTCTCTCCCGTCCTGTCTCTCCCTCGGTCTCTCCCGTCTCTGTCTCCCCCTCGGTCTCTCCCGTCTCTGTCTCCCCCGGATCTCTCTGTCTCCCCCTGGGTCTCTCTGTCTCCCCCTCCTCAGTCTCTCCTGTCTCTGTCTCTCCCGGGGTCTCTCTGTCTCTGCTCTCCTCCAGGTCTCTCCCATCTCTGCGTCTCCCGTCTCTGTCTCCCCCTCGGTCTCTCCCGTCTCTATCTCTCCCCCCCCGACCCCGGCCCGGTTGTCAGAGACTGAGGGACCGGAGGGCTCGGCGGTCAGACCTCTCTCCCTCCCCCTCCCCCCCCCCCCCCCCCCCCCCCCGGGCCGAGCCGGTCACCTTGTCCAGGGCCGCGGGCCTCTGCACGGCCAGCGAACGGGCCAGTGACAGGACGGTGTTGAAGTAGAAGCCGCGGGCGGAGCTGGGGCCGGAGCAGGGGCCGGCCGCCGCCCGAGCCGCTCCCGCCGCCATGGCCCCCGCTGAGCCGTTTTCCTCCACCTCGGCCTCCGGCGCCTCGGGCTGAGAGCTCGCCCCCTTCCTGGCCGGGGGCGCCACGGCGCAGGCGCAGGCTCTGCCTGCTTCCGGCTGGAGGAGCACGTGATCTGCACTGTTGTCAAACGCCGGGGGCGGAGGGGCGGGAGGGGGCGGGGAGGGGGGGGGGGGGGGGGGGGGGGGGGGGGGGGGGGGGGGGCGGGGTCTGCGGGCGGGTTCACCACCTCGGGAGGGGGGGAGGAGGCGGAAACAACTGCGATTACAACGCAGGGCTGGAGGGAACACCCCTCCACGCACGCGCCCAATGGTTGGATCCAGGGGCGTGGCCGCGCACGCGCCCTGGGCAGAGCGAGCTTGTCGAGGGCGCAGTAGGGTGAGGTGGCGGTCGCGGGGGCGACGGAGCTGAGGTTGGGAACGGCAGCGGCGGGTAAGGCTCCCGAACGCGGGCCAAGGGGTCCGGCGGGGGCCCGGAGGGCTGGAGGCCCCGGGAAGGAAGAAGCTCGGAGGCCGGAAGGGAGTGGAGGGGAAACTGAGGCCTGGGGAGGGGGGCGGGGCAAGGATCGAGGGAAGGGAAACGGGAAACTGAGGCTGGGAAGGGATAGGAGAGACCAAGGGTCCAGCCCCCGGGTGAGCGGATGGAGAAACTGAGGCCCAGAGGGGTGGAGGGGCCGAAATGAGGGGAGGGGGGACGGCGGAGACGGAGGGCCCAGCTTCTGTTAGTGTCTATTATGAGGACTGGGACGGAGATGTCTGTAGCGCATCTATGTCATCCGTGTGATAGTCCGTGTAACATGCTGTGCACATAGTACATACAACATGTCACACATGTAGGGCATCCATATAGTACAGAAGGTACACACGATATAGTGTACACACGGTAATATAACAGAAGATCTGTAGAGTTGGTGTGTAGAGCTGGGAGGGATCCCGTGATCCCACCTCCTCATTTTACAGAGAGGGAAACTGAGGCCAGGAGAAGGCGAAGAGGACGTGACCAGGGCCACACAACAGTTGGGGGCAGGAGCCGAGGTCCCCATCCTGGTCCTGGGCTCTGCAGATTCCCAGCTTGTCAGAGATGTAGGGCACTGCAGAGAACCCCCAAACCCCTCCTTTGCTCTTGTTCTTTGACTTTAGGCCTCAACTATGCCCTGTTGAATTCAGTAAGTCAGGAAACTGCTTATCAGTTTATCCTTGGGCACTTGGAAGGGAATGGGTCAGCCACCCCACAATGGATGTTGTGGAAGGCCATGGCAGCTCGTGACACATTCCCTTGTAATCCCTCCCAAGTGTGTGGAGATGGGTGTCTGTGGAAGGCTGCTTGGCAAAGGGATGGCAGGAGGCCTGGGCTTGGGGTCAGAAAGATTCAGATTCAAATCCTGCCTCTGATGCTTGGTAGCTCTGTGAACCCGCATAAGTTACTTAGCTTCTCAGTGCCTTGAATAACTGCTGAGAGTCCTGCTGATAGCAGGAATTCCAAGGCAGTTTAGGTCGAGGGGAGTTTTCTGCTTCCTAGCAGACACATGTCATAAATATTGATCCTCTCGGTCTCTTCTTCCCCTTCCATTAGTGTGGTAGGCAGGATGAGGATGGCCGCGGGGGACAGGAGACCCGGCTTCCCAGGCAGTCCCCACTGAGCTTTGTATCCCTGACACCTGGCACACTGCCTTCTGGGTTTTCTGACTTTTTGGTCACCATACAACTTTTCCTTTCCCTCCAGCTAGAGAAACCTTTAATCATCTTTAAAAACAACTGCGCCAGGACATCGCACCTTTGTGAGCGGGGCATTGAAGAATCTCTTTGAGTGACCTGGGCAGTTGAGGCTTGGCAGCACACGCCATGTCGGCTTATTCCAGAAGTTACAATCCGTTTGATGATGATGCGGATGAAGAAGACCTGAAGCCAGCGAAATGGAAGAATGAAGAGGATTTCTCCCAGAAGCCCAGGGAGCCTATGGACAGACAGCAGTACCTGCGGCAGGAAGTGCTGAGGCGGACCGAGGCCTCTGTGGAGAGTACTAACCGCTCCCTTTCCTCCATTTATGAGTCCGAGAAGGTCGGAATTGCTTCATCCGAGGTAAGGTCCCAGAGCAAATCAAGGCAAAGGCCAGTCTGATGCCGACGTGCATCTCATTAGGATTCAGCCTGTTTAATCCTGGTTTGGGTCCTTAGGGCGCCTGCTTTAATAATGATGATTTGCAGTTACTGTAGCAGCTACATAAACAAAAAGTAGTGCACCCCCCCCAGCAGTGTTAACTTGCTGCTGTCCAGCTTTTCAAAAATCTCAGCTAACAGTGTGAATTCATGAGGCTTTCCTGTGTGAAGAAATAGATTGCCTTGAATTGGCGGTTTCCTTGAGGACAGAATGGGTGGTTGAAGAAGTGCATTTCATTTGTTCTTTTCTTTTTTGGGTGGGTGGGGAGGCATTGGGGTTAAATGACTTGCCTAGGGTCACACTGCTAGTATGTATCTGAGGCAGATTTGAACTCAAGCCTTCTTGACTCTAGGGCGGGTTCTCTATCCACGTTTCATTTGTTCTTAAACCTCCCTGGTTAATAATGTTTAACTCCAATGGAAGCACTTCAAATTCAAGAAAGCCAAAGGCCCTAAGATAAGACACTTAGCACAAGCAAGGGAATGATATAATCAGCATAGGCTGAGGAACCAGGAAATGTCCTGATCACATCCATTCCAGGCTCAGAAAAGAGAGAGAAGCGCAATTAGGGTTAGGGTTAGGGTTAGGGTTGGGGGTGGTCCTCAGAGGCTTTCTGGAGCAGGCCAGTGGGGAGAAGGAAGGGCATTCCTTAGGAGCCTCTCAGCAGGACTATTCTAATAGCCTCCTCCCTGGTCTTCCTGTCTCCAGGATAAGAGCTGGCATCATAACTTGGAATGGGCCCAGAGGAGGAAGGGCCTTCAGGAGACTGGGAGGGCTAAAGACCAGGTGACCTGTGAGTCAATGGATGGAGAGAGAGTGGCGTAAGAGGGCCAGGCTATCGGCCTCCCACTTTTGGAAGAGCCGGTGTGTGAAAGAGGGGCCACCCAGGCTTCCCCCTAAGAGGACCCTCCATCTTCCCTCTGTGTCATGTACGTGCCTGCTCATGGGCATGGCATCTCCCCCGTTAGGCTGCAAGCTCCGGAGGGCAGGGATGGCGTCATTTTGCCTTAGCACACAGTGCGGGCTTAGTCAGTGCCTATGGGCTGACTGACCACAGAGAACAGAACCGGCGACCATGAGGAGAGAGTGCAGATTGAGGCTTGCCGTCCTCAGCTGGAACGGTTTCTTGGAATCTAGTGGGTCTTCCCATTGAAGGAAGGCTTTAGTTAGTTGTGGAAGGTGACCAGGATCCCAAGGACCCTTCTAGCTCTAAGACTTGGGTTCTGTAAAGACCACAGGCTGTTAGGAGGAGCCAAATGGACCGTGACCAGAGGCCTCTATCTTGACCTAAGGGCCCTCTGTACTCCACCGAGGATGTCAGCTGGTCAGAAGGAGGGGCCTCCTTGGGCGTTCTCCTTTATCTTGGCCCCTTCCCCACTGCCCAAAGGCTCCTTGCCGTAAATTATATCAGCTTCTGTGCCCTTGAACACGGTCCAGAGCGTTTCAGGGCCGACTTCCTCAAGGAGCAGCTGACCTGAAAGACGAAGACTTCCTCAAGAAAGAAGATGTGGGGAGGAGGGGCAGGCACCAGCTGGGCTTCTGTCCAGTAGATCCTGGGCAGAATCCAGCACCCACTAGGACCTGGGGGGAACTCGACTTAGGAAATGAGCTGGGGCAAATACAGATCATTGGAGGTCTCGCCCTTCAAATTGTCTTCCCAGCCAAAAGGTTGAGGGCAGGCCGAATGGTTGGAAGGCTGTTGTATTCCAGGTGTCCTTGTCCCCGTGGCATTCATGTTGCCTGGCCCTGAGATGGCCCTTTGGGGGCGCTAAGCCCTTCCTGTGTGAGTGGTCCTCTCAGCGGCCCTTGGAGATCAGGACCATAGCTGTCATTACAGTTTGCAGATGAAGAGACTGAGGCAGGATCAGGGCCCTGCTGTCTTTTCGCCACACCAGACATGAAGTAACAAGGCCTCATGTGTGTTCCAAAGACAGGTTTACAGAGAAAAAGTGATGCGCTTGCCCTCGTCATCTTCCCCAAGCCTGAACCTCTTCCTGGGTTTCCCAGGACCACCATCAGTCACCTTGGACTTTCGCTCTCCCGTCTCCACTGACCCTGCCTCCACCCTTGCTTCGGCCTTCGTGACCCCTCCCCAGGTGTCTCCATCTCTCGTTTTCCTAATAGATAGTTCTCATCCCATCTCTTCTGCCAGATCCCTTGGCCTTCCTGGCATTGCAGGCCTCCCTTGTCATGCCTCTCGTAAGTGTCTCTCGTAAGTCACAGCTCCGTCCCCCACACCTGGGGTGCTTTCTGCATCACTCATTTCTTCCTGTTTGTACCTTTGCACTTCCTCAGGTGCTCCAGGAGTCTCCACCCCTACGCGGCAGGGGCGGGGTCAGCTTGCCAGTGACCCAGGTGGCAGAGGACCTGAGGCATGTGCATGCAGCCCGGGGCCCATGCCAGGAACAGTGAGTCATTGCCCTAAATTATGGGGTGTTCGAGGTGGAGGCCAGCTCACCCTGGGCTGCACCAGAGGGCCTTCCTAAGGACAGAGGAACTGGCGTCTCATTGCTGCACCTCAAGCAAGTCTTCCCAATGCTTTTCTAAGCCGTTGAGAGAAGAGGGGTGGTGATGGAGCATTCAATCAGTGTGCTCGAGCACTCTCTCTCTCTCTCTCTCTCTCTCTCTCTCTCTCTCTCTCTCCTGTTACTGCCTCCCTCTCTCTCCTCTCCCCTTTTCTCCCTCCCCTCCCCTTCTCTCTCCCCCTCCTTTTCTCTCTCCCTCCCCTCCCCTTCTCTTCTTTGTTTTGTTTTGTTTTGTTTTGTTTTGGCTAGGCAATGGGGTTAAGTGACTTGCCCAGGGTCACACAGCTAGTAAGTGTTATGTGTCTGAGGCTGGATTTGAAGTCAGGTCCTCCTGAATCCAGGGCCGGTGCTCTATCCGCTGCGCCGCCTAGCTGTCCCCTCGCTTCTTTCCCCTTCTTTCTCTGTCTCTGTCTCTCTCCTCTGTTCCTCCTTCTGTCTCTCTCTCTCTCTCCCTCTCCTCTCTTCTTTTCTCTCTCCCTTCCCTTCCCTTCTCTTCTTTCCTCTCTTCCCCCTCTCTCTGTCTCTCTCTCTCTCTCCCTCCCTCTCTCTCTCCTCTCCTTTTCTCTTCCCCTCCCCTCCCCTCCTCTCTCTCCCCGCTCCCTCTTCCTGTCCCCCACCCCTCGCAAGACAGAGGGGCATTTCTGGTGGTGTTTGTAAGGAGCCCCAGCCCCAGTTCACTTGCGTGTTGTGGCCTCACGTCCCTGATGTCAGCGGTCCTCTGAGAACAGACAACAAGCAGCAGGAGCAGCTGATGTTAGACCTTACTAGCCTGAGGGTCTTGAACAGGGCTCTGGTCTCTAGTCTGTGTAGTAATACCTTCTGGCCCTTGTCACAGACGTGCTGTGAGGATCAGTATCTGTCGATGTTCAGTCGTGGCCAGCTCTCTGTGACCCCGACCCTGGAGCAGTTTGCCGTTTTCTTCTCCAGCTCCTTTGACAGATGAGGCCACTGAGGCCAAGGAGCTTGCTGCCCTCCATGTCTGCTGGGGCTCTGTAACGGCCAGGTGCTCTTTGTGCACCAGCAGTGCTGTGTTGTGTGAGCCCCGCAGGATGTGAGGAGCAGAGATCTGGGGCCAGAAGGGAGCCCCGAGGTGCCTGTGTTCCTGAGGGAGACGGAAGGCCCAAGGAAGGGGGGACTTGTTGCGTGGGATGCAGTCTCTCCCCTTCTCTGCACCTCTTCAGTCCTCCTCCAACCAGCTGCCAGACGGACCACCCCATGGCAGAGGTTCTCAGCCACAGTCGGAGGACTCGCTCGAACGTTTTCGATAACTGTGTTTTAGTAGAATTGATTTTCTTTGCCAAGTCAGCAAGCCTTTACCAAGCACCTCCTTCATGCCTAGCGTGGTGTCGAGTGCTGGGGTTATAGGAGAGGACGGAAGGCACCGCTCCCACAGGTGCTCACCATCGAATGTTCTCCTGACCAGAAGGGATCCGTAGGTTTGAACAGATGCCAAAAGCAGCCGTGACACAAAAAAAGATTGAGACTCTGCTCTGAGCAGATGTCTTGGGTGGAGGTCCGTGGCTGTGGGAGCTGCACGATGACTGGAGTCGGGGACCTCGCTTGCCCAGGGTCTGGGGCGGGGGGCGTCACAGCAGGGGCTGCGGCTGCTGTCGCCCGCTACCTCAGAAGGTGGCACTGAGCTTGGGAGAAAATGGGCTCAACCAACATGGGTTGAATTTGTCGATGAATTTCCATCAGCAGAGGAACCACGGACCCACAGAGGGGAACCAGCTTCGGTTGGAAAAGGAGGGTCCTTAGCAGGATGGAATTAGTGGCATGAGAGCGCCTGCTTTTGTTTTCTAGTCTCAGGTCAGTTGAGCGTTCCTCACCTGCTTCCCCTTCGCTTCAGGCTGAAGACGTGTAGGTCTTCAGCACAGCTCCCTGTACCCCAAATAAGATGCTGAACCAGGCATGAAGGCAGTAGTGATTGTAGAGGAGGGAGCACTTAGGTCAAAGAATAAGAGGTGTAGACTAGAGGTGACATTGGAACCGCATTGGGCCGTGAGGCTGGGTGACTTGCCCAGGGCTCCCTGGCCCCATCCCTGGGACCCTGGGCGTTCTCTGGGCTGTCTAAGCATCTGTGAAACCATAGTGTGTAGAGATAGGGTTGAGTTTCACAAAGGAAATGACAATAAAACGAAACTGCCAGACCAGTAATCCACAGAGAAGGTGTCCTGCGGCCTGGCCCTTTGCCATAAGCCTGCAGGAAAGGAAAGGGTCCCTCCCTTTCTGCAGCAGCTATGCTGCCTAGCCAGAAGGCTGGGGCCTGGCAGTGGGAGGCAAATGCAGCAGTTTGATCTGGAATCGAGATCTGGGTTGAGAGATGGAGGAACGTTGACTTTGGGAAGAGGTAGCAGAAGGGAGGAGGGAGGGAGAAAGAGGGAAAAAGAAGCGTTGTCCTTCATTGACCCTTCTGACATCCCTCAGTCATCGGTAGCAGCTCTACCCCTGGTGATCAAGGTTTTGGCAAAGTGATTGCCCAGTGTGGGGGTTGGTTTGGTTTTTTAAATCTGACTTTTTAGAAAGAAGAGGGGATTGAGAACTTTCTCTCCTTGTAGCTTTCTTTCAGCGACCAGGCCCAGGTCTCCAAAAAGCAGCAGCATTGGCGGTTCTCTCCCCGCCATTTGTAGCTCTCCCAGGCTGGTGACACTGTCAGGAAGGAGATAAGATTAGGCTCCCATGGCTTAACTCCATTTTTCTTCTTAAAATTCCTTAGCACCAGAGTTCTCCCCAAGTTAAAAAAAATCCTTCTAACACAAAAGCACAAAACCCCACGCATCGACCCCTTCCACAAATGCCTGTCTCATTATGCACTCCCGGCCATCACCCTCTTCCTCACTGGTCCTCTGGAGCTGTGATTGGTCATCACGCTGGTCAGTTTTCAGTCTTTTCTTTTCAGCGGTGGTCCTCCTGGCAGTGGTTCTCCTGGCGCTGCTCACTTAACTCTGCATCCAGTCCATGCGTTTCTTGCGGCACAAGAATGTGCCCTTACGCTGCCACGTCCACAGACAGACCACCTTTGGTTTCCCCACTTGCTTGGCCTGCTTGGTTACACTGCAGGCGTCTTCTGCCTTCCCCATCCTCTGATCTCTTTGAAGCAGATTCCTTGTGGTGGGGCGGGGTCAGCCGTACCTTCTCGAGGACCCTTGTTGACTTGGTGGTCCGCTGCCCTTTCTCAGAGCTCACAAGCCCCGGGGGTGGTTCAGCAGCACATTGGCACAGGGGCTGTCGTTTGGGGCTCTGTGTTGGGATCGAGTCCTGCCATCTCCTCTTGTCTCCCCATTTTGGCCTTCACTTGACCCTCTGTCACTGGGACCTAGACTTCCCAGCTGTGGTTCATTTACTTTGGGACAGAAGAGAAGAGAGACAGATGGTGTGTTCTCCCTTCACCTTACGTGGTCGTGGTAGGCATCCCCTGCCTTCCTTTGCCTCCTCCAGCTCTAACTCTGAGCCATGGAAGGTGTTTTACAAACCTTGGAGTGCTCCAGGAATGGGAGGAGCTGCTGGGGGTCTTGTTCTGGGGGATCGAGGGGTCTGAAGCAGAGCGACCTGTGTGGTCACTGCTGTGATAGGCCTGGCGGGGATGGCTTGCCAACCAGGAGATGTAACCCTGCTGGAGCTGTCCCAGTGGGCTGGAGCCCAGGGCATGCCTGTTCTCTGCACAGCTGCACTGCTTTTTCAGTTCCTTCTCCAGAGCCTTGGCACCCTCCGTGGCCACGGGCACTGTTGCATCTGGTGTTTGGCGTTGCTTTAGCTGCAGCGCTCTCTGGATCCCAGCACACGTCTCTGGCTCTGGCCCATTTAGAGCAGACTCTTTGAAAGGAGTGAACACTGTAATCCCTTGACTCCTAAAGGAATCTTTCCCTTACCTCTCTGTGCAGAGCGAAGGGGGAAAGCTGCTGTTACTATACAGTAGGGCCTAACTGGACCAAAAACCTGAATTTGATTGGGAAAAAAAGATTCAGAAAAACAAGAGAAGGGCTGGATCCAAACGGATCCTTTCAGCCACAGGGGAGCCCTGCAGCAGGTCATACACGTGGTCCTTCCAGTAGATGCCCGAGTCTGGATCGGATTAATCTTGTGGATGGTCCGTGATGAATCCTTAGCCTTGAAGGGAGAGAAGCTTCAGGACCAGAGTGCCAGGGTTCCTCCCTTCCCAGAGCCCAGAAGCTCCCTGGAAGGCCCTACTCAGACCTCCTTTCTGTCCCTGGCCTTCTCATCTACAGGCAAGCCCCTCTTCCCTGAGGGTGGCTTTGCCTGGCTTCCCTCCTTTTCTTCCTTACCTCTGTTTCCCACCTTATTCCCCTCGGGCTGGGCTCTGCCTTCCTCCGTGACCTGTGAGCTCATATAATAACCATTAGAGAAAACTGTTAAGACTTCCCTGGGCCTTCTTCCCTGTGGTTCCCAGGCCCCTGGTGTGCCCTCTGGAGACAAGTCATTGTTCCATCTTTCTAGTGTACTGGTTTGTGTTAACAAAACAAAATATGAAACACGTTTGAGTCAGAACAGTTGAGCTTGGTCTAAAGGCTCTCAAGAATCAAGTTTTTTGAATGGTTATTTATATATCAGCCGCTCCATGGGCCAGAGGAAGTGGAGTTTGGGGGCCCTGGCTTCTTAAAGGCTTTGCCCACAGAGCACAGGCCAGCCAGCCTGAGAAGGCTCCTGCCTACGTCCCACTGCGTGCGTCTTGTCCAAGGACCGGCCCGGCCAGGCAGAGAGCTTGAGTAGGAAACTCCACAGGTCTGGTCTCCAGCACTGTATTTCAGAGGCCCAGGGAAGGGCCTTTCAGACACCTGGGGCATGAATCCTGTACCTGGAGAGAGCTCCAGATTACCGGACAGCACTTGAGTCTTCTGCGGGTGAAGGCCACAGAATCATCCCATGCCACGGTGGGAAGCGGCAGATGTCGGCCCTGGGCTCTGCACTGGCTTCTCACCTGGATTAGGGGGATGGGTCTCCCCACCTCTGGGCAGTCCCCATTGCTTGCACCGTAGGCACAGCTGGCAGAGCCGTTCTAGAGTGCACATCTGACATGCCAGTGGTTCCCTCCGGCCCCTTTGTTTACCTCTGAAACCTTTGCCAGAGCAGCCTCGGCCTGGCCTTCTGCGCTGCGGGGTCCAGCCCAGGCATCCTTCTCTCTGCGCCTCTTTCCTGGTCACCTCCCTCCTCTCCTCTTTGAAGATTGTCCCTCACAGACTTCCTGTTTTTATTTGAATCTGTTCTCTTGTACATGTGTACACATTCACACGCACGTGTGTATGTGCACGCGTGTCTCCCTTGTGGACTGTGAGCTCCTCGGGAGTAGGGATCATTCACTGCACTTGTACCCCTGGAGCCTGGCACATAGTAGGTGTCTGATGAGTGTTCCTGTCTGGAGCTTACCCAGGCCTGCGCCTTGGATTCCTTTTCTTCTGAAAGGGTTCAGTTAGGTGTCACCTCCTCCTGGGCCGGCTGGAGTGGGTGTGGGCAGGTGTCCATCCCCCCCCCCCCGCCTCAGTCCTTCCCTTTCCTCACCCCACCCAAGCTGAAAGCATGTCCTTGTCATCTGATGTTCTGAGAGGACATCCTTGGAGGTTTCTCCCTTGTCGCCATCCCACGGTGCCTTGAATGCCGATCCCTGTTGTGCCTGCCTCATGCCCTGCTTTCTCCTCTGCCTACCCCCTTGGCAAAGGTACACTCTCAGGTGGCAGGGCCATGTGATTCCCAATCTTGGCACCCCACGCTTTGTGAGGGGGCAGAGGCCTCAGTCTGCAAATAGCCCTTTAGTGCCTGTCATTCAGGGCATCGAGGAACCTGTGTTTGTGGAGTCTTATGTACAAAACCAAAGGGTGTGAGCTGTCGTTGACCATGGCCCAGGAAAGGGCCCCGGGAGTCACTGCAGACTTTTCCTTGGAACCAGTGTGGTGCGGAGGAAGGAGCAGCAGACACGGAGTCCAGAGGCGCGGGTTCAGGTTCCAGCTGCTCCTTCTGGTTACCTCAGGATCGACCTTGACCGCCCCCCTCCCTCTACAGAGGAGGGATGGGAGGGGCTACAGGATAGTTTTTCTTTTTTTTTTTTTTTGATGAGGCAGTGGGGTTAAGTGACTTGCCCAGAGTCACACAGCTAGTGAGTGTTCTGTGTCTGAGGCCGGATTTGAACTCAGGTCCTCCTGACTCCAGGGCCGGTGCTGTATCCACTAAGCCACCTCGCTGCCCTGGTATAGTTTTTCACCTTGGTGTCTACGGCGCCTGGTCCACACTGCGTGTCCATTGAATACCACAGGAGGACTCAATGCCTCGAAGCCCACCGGCTAGCAGCGAGCCTCAGCTGGGTCATCTCTTTGGGGCTGCAAGGCCTCCTGAGCCTCAGTGTCCTCATCTGTGAAATGGGAGCAGTAATGCCCGCGCTCCCTGCCTCACGGGAGGTTCTCTCGTTGCTTTTCCGCAGGAGCTGGTGCGTCAGCGGGGAGTGCTGCAGCGCACGGAACAGATGGTGGACAAGATGGAGCAGGACTTAAAGACCAGCCAGAGGCACATCAACAGTATCAAGAGTGTGTTCGGGGGCTTCGTCAACTACTTCAAATCCAAGCCTGCGGAAGCCACGCCGCCTAACGGTGTCGTGGACCCCCAGCCCAGCACGCGGTGAGCTGCCCTCCTGGGCCTGGGGGAGCAGTGGTCAGAGATCCACTGGCCATCCAGGGAGGAGCAGAGCGTGGATTACGTGCTTAGGGTGTGCCTGGGACTGCGCTAATGCCCAGGGATACAAATTGGGGGCTGTGGTGGGGAAGCCTAGGGAGGGAGGGAGTCACGTGGCCAGGACCCTTGGGAAATGGGGATTCAGGGTGGAAATAGGGTGGATGCTGAGGCCCATCCCCAGGGCGCCGCTGCCTTTGAAGAGGTAAGGAGGCAGACGGTCACGGAGCGGCGGAGAAGAGGCCCAGCCCGGGAGGCAGCACACGTGGGGCCGTGTCCCGTCTTCGCCAGACAGGCAGGCGCTCAGCAGAAGCCAGTCGCTGCCCTCGAGAGGCCCAGTCTAGCATGAGAGATAGCTGGAAACGAGCTCCAGATGGGCTAGTGCCAGCCTGTAGTTAACGCCGCAGAAATGGGAGCTGTCCTTGCCATGGCTGATGTGTTGGGGTCGGTATCCGGCCTCATCCGGTCTTCCCCAAAGGGAGGATGTTAGCTGAGGCCTGCAGGAAGCCGTCATGCTCCCCTGAGTCTTGTTGTCTCTAGTCTGGTCCTCGTTTCCCTCCACCGATCCTCATGTGATGTGAGTGAGGGTCCTGGACACCCTCCCACTTACCCTGTTTCTTCCCAAGTCACGGTGCCCAGTACTGAGCTGCCCTGGTCTGAGCAGGGCCCAGGACAGGACGCTCCGCCTCCCTTCGTGCTGCCCAGAATGGCGCTCACTCTTCATGCTGCTGATTCATACCAAGCTAGCAGTCCACCCAAACTTCAGAGGCGCTCATGCCCAATGACTCTCTTAGATAGTTGAGGCACGAAGGCACACGCTTCACATCTTGGACAGACAGTTGTAAGGTGCCCCAGAACTGGCTCTTCCAGCCTGGAGAGATGGTGGGACTCATTGCACGAGGTCCCCCGGCTTAAGTAAATAAGGGCCAGGTTTGGGACTGCAATTCAGCGTTCTTTCCACTGTCCCGTGTTGTCAGTTGACACAGAATAAGCTTTATACACCAGAAAGGCTTCAGTTAAATAGGATCCTGCTGACATTTTTTATCTTAAATTATTTTTTTTTCTTCTTTTGTTACTTAAAGACTGAAAGAAGCCGTAGCCACGAGTAAGGAACAAGAGGGGAATTATCAGGCCAGCCACCCGAACCTCAGGAGGCTGCAGAGTTCAGGTCAGTAAAAGGCCAAGCTACGAGGGCCATTTGATCCTGGTGAGATGGGACGGGGCTGTTTGGGGACACCCTGGAGGGTGGGGGAAGGGCAAGGTTAGAGTGGCTTTCAGGAAGTGCTGATGGTTTAACGATTACTAATTGCCCCAAGTGTCCTGGCAGTCTCCAGCCTTCAGCCCCATTGTGCATGAGATTGCCCGCCATTTTTGGGAGGTGTCCTATGGAATGCTGATCTCCGCTCCAAGCTCTTTCTGGGTAGTGAAATACCACCAGTGGTGATAAATTGTGCAAACATTTACAGGTGTCTAAAGACCAGCCCTGGCCAAATGTCAGCTGTAAGAGAGAGCCAGTATGCTACTCAGGAAATCTTGGCAAGATCTGTGATTTCAGCTATGTGTGCATTCCTACCACACCTTAGGAGCTGTGAAAACCCAGAGAAGTTGGGGGGAAAGATAATGAATTCCTTTTGGACCTGTTCAGAGCTCAGTGCCTGCCGGGGGGTGTTGGCAGTATGACATTGGAGCTCCAGAGAGATTCAGGCTGGGAACAGAGGTCTGGGGGTCATGTCCATAGAGATGGTCATTGAATCCTTGAGAACAGATGAAGTTTGGAAGAGAAAAAGTGTAGACAGAGAAGAGGAGACCCAGCTCAGAACCACGAGGCACATGCACACTTAGTGATGTGGAGAAACCTCAGGACCCACAGGGAGTGAGTGGCGTGCATCTGGGAGGAGGGCCTGGGGGCAGTGTCTTAAGAGGCGGGAGCCAGCCATGGTGCCGTCCTCAGGACAGTCTGCTGCAGCTGCTGGAGAACACGGCTCAGAGAGGAAAGGAGGAGTCTGAAGAGGTGGGAGGAAGGGCCGCCTATGCAGGCAGCTCCAGTGGGCACGGCTCGTGCCAAGCAGGTGCCATGGACCTTGTGGAAATACAGCTGGGCAAGCTTTAAACTGTGCTAAGGGAATCCAGTGGAGCCCGCAGCCCACTTGGGGGCCTAGGAAAAGTGGCCCACTCCTCTGCGAAGGAGGCTTCAGCCTCCTTAATACCACCCACCATGGGGTCCCCATGTTTGGTGTCTTTCTCGGGTCGACTTAGCCATGTCGGTCTGGTGGTATTGGTGGAATACTAGAATCTCAGAGCTGAAGGAATCTCGGGAGATCTCGGCTCAAACTCCCCCTCAGACAGGAATCCCCTCGTTGTATCCCGGACTCCACAGTTTCCTTGAGGATCCTTAGTGTCCGAGCTCCTTAGGCATTTCTTCCCTCAGCTGAGCCGGTAGCCGCCTCCCTCCATCTTCTGCCCTGGCGCGTTACCCTAGTGCCGATAAAGAGGTAACCAGCAGGCCTCACGTTCCCGAGTCCCAAGCTGCACAGAGCGCCAGGCTGCCCAGAGCGCCAGGCTGCCCCACGGAGTCAGAATCGGCGGAATTCTTCTGAAAGGCAGACCTGGGGTCAGCGGGGAGTACACTAGAGGGAAGGCACACCGACCTCGGCCTGGGAGGCCTGGCTTCAGGGCCCAGGTTCACAGGTTGTGCAGCCCCAGGCACTTAGTCCAGGCTCCCAGGCTCTCGGACCAAACCTCACTTCCTTCCAGAAGGGGGCCTCAGGGAGCAGTCTCACCCAGCCGTTTGCTGGTGAGACATCCCTGACGTGTTCTCATCCAGCCTCTGCTGAAACACCTCCAGGATCCCAAGGGTGATGTTATAGCCATGTAACAGATTGTTCCACCAGAGCACAACTTCAGGGGAATCCGTGTCAGGGGCAGTGAGTGCTGTGGGGATGAGAGATGTCCGTCTAAGGGAGGGTCGCGGTACCTGAGGACAGCAGTCGGGGTGGCCCCCGGGAAGCGTCAGGCAGGGTGAGAGCTCTGGGCAGCCAGAGCAGGAAGGAAGCCCCAGCCGGGATCCGTCAGGCGCAGAAGTGGCTGAGGTGGCCCTTGGTTCTGGCCGGGATCAAGATCTGGGCTGGCCTCCGTTGACTGGAGGAACTCTGAACACTGGAGGTGAAGAGGGGTGAGAATGAGAGCGTTCGAATCTGGAAAATGCAGTTTCAGCTTGTGGGGAGTGCCTCCTTGCACGTGGCCTCGCCCCTTCCCCTAGGGCTCCTCGGAGCACCCCGTAGGATGGCGTCCATCTGGCAGTCTGACTGATGCTGCCTTATTACTGAGTCCCGCTGCATCACAGAGATGTCAGTTAGGGTCACCCTGCCCTCTTGGATCCTGTGATCCAGTGATCATCGTGGTTTCTGTTCCTGTTGACTTCAAAGTTGACAAAATGTTTGATTACTCTTCCCCACAACAAACTGTGAGGTAGATGGTATAGATATTGTTATACCCATTTTACAGATGGGGAAACCAGAGTTCAGTGAGGTGGCCACAGCTTCCTGGATCACCCAGCTCACGAGTTGTGGATCCGTGTTTCCAAGGCAGGTCCCTCCTGTGCCTATCAGGACATTGCTTCCACCATCCCAGGCCTGGAGAGTGAGCAGGGGCTGGGGAAGCACGGTCCAGATAGCGAGCTCCCAGGGGCCCAAAATGTGTTTTTGTCTTCCTTTCCTCAGTGCCTAGCGTGCAGTTGCTGTTTAATAAAAGCTTGTTGGCTGATTTATTGATGCTTCTTAGAGAGGAGCCTCACTTTGCTGCCTCTCTCGACCAGAGGCGATCACCCCACCAGAGGGGATCATTCAGTTAGTCAACAAACATGCTTTAAACACCCACTGTGTGCCAGGAGCTGGGGGTACAAAGGCAAAATTGGGACACTCCCTGCCCTCGAGGCCCTTACAACATCGACCTGTTTGGGCATCCACAAGACACAGGGAGGGGAAGGTGCTGCATGGGCTGGGCTGCAGGGGGCGCTTGGAGCCCCAGGTTGATCACGCTTCTTTTTTAAACAGATGCCGTTGTTGGTGGGACTAGTTCTGCCGTCAGTACCGATGCCTATCTGAAGAATCAACATCTCCGAGCCTATCACCAAAAAATAGATGACAATCTTGGTAAGCCTTCAAGCCACCCAGGCCTTGAGGACTGTACATCAGCCCCCTTCCTTTGTTCTAAGAGGTCAGCTGCTCAGAGCCCCACTGGAGCCATTGACACTTCTTTTTTTTTTTTTTTTTTTTTTTTTTTGGAGGGGGTGGTATTTGAGGTTAAGTGACTTGTCCAGGGTCACACAGCTAGTAAGCATCAAGTTTCTGAGGCCGGATTTGAACTCAAGTCCTGCTGACTTTGGACCAGTGCTCTATGCACTGCAGCACCTAGCTGCCCCATAAAGTATTTTTGTTGTTGTTCACTCATGTCTGACTCTTCATGACCCCATTTGGGGTTTTCTTGGCAAAGATGCCAGAGTGATTTGCCATTTGCTTCTCCAGCTCATTTTACAGATGAGGAAATTGAGACAAACAGGGTTAAGTGACTTGCACAGAGTCACACAGCTACTAAGTTTCTGAAGCCAGATTTGAACTCAAGAAAATGAAGCTTCCTGACCGCAGGCCGGGTGCTCTATCCAATGCACTACCCAGCTGCCCGCTGCTGATGCTTTTTAAGGCCTCTGCCAGTTCTGCCCTCAGAGGAGCAGCCCGCTTCTCCACCTCCTTCCTCCCTCCCCCAGCCCAGCCCCACCTGGGCCCAGCTGCATCCTGCCTGTGTGGGCTTGCTCATTTGGCCTCCCCTGGGAGTCACCAGCTCCACCATGATGCCAGTCATCTCAGTGCCAACAGGGCTTCCTACAGGGGAGCAAGAAAGGTGGAAGACTGAGACAAGCCAATTGTTTGTCTCCTCTCATCCTGTCTCTGTTTGGGAAGGAGGTGCCAGCAGGAGTATGAGCTGGGTGTATGAGCTGGGTGTGGAGTCAGCTTATTGAGAAGCTCCATCAGCCTCCAGTTCAAAATGCTTTGGACTGAGCAGCTCCCATAAACCCAGGTGCAGATCCTCTGGGTGGGATCCAGCATCTGTTCCAGCAATCAGCATGATAGCTCGAGCGCCTGGCGACATCAAGTCACCGTCTGGGTCTCTCCGAGGCCCCAGGACTGCCATCCTTCCATCAATGCGGAGAACCCTGAGTGGAGAGTTCTTTCCTGCAGAAGCTGTACCCCCTTTCTCAGTTGACATACATGGAATGGTACTTACATCAGGACTGTGCAGCCTGAGTCACTTTCCAGGATGCTAGGCGGCAGCCGCTGATGTGAAGGTGCTAATCCCCCTTCTTCCCACAGATCAAGTTCTAAAAACAGAAGATGCCACAAAAGTAGTAGGTGAACAACTTGCTAATGGATCAGTGCTCAAAGAACACAGCTGGTCTAGGAGCCATACAGAGCGCTAAAAACGTCTGATGTGGAAAGGATCTTCTGGCCGTATGGAATCCAGGCTCTGGAGAGTGGATGGGCAGACCATCTCTTGAGAAGAAACTGGAGCTGTACAATCGAATCTCCAAACATTTGACCGATGGAACAAAGAGAAGAGTCTTGTATCCGCTGCCTTCTCACATTTGCTCTTATCTGTAAAATATCCCTGCAGAAACTACCACGACTTCAAAAAGGATTGATGCCATTAATTCCAAATGTAGTAGATCAACTGCAGAGGGCCAATAGTGCTTGGAAGAATTTCGGTCATCTCATAGATGACGTGTGTTCAGTCATAAAACAGTGGCTAAGTTCTTTGCCTGTACCAATTGCATATAATCCTGGCCTAAGCAGCAGGTTCTGGAAGGGATAGCAAGAGTCTAGAAGGGATAGCAAGAGTACTCTTTGAACACCCTGACTTTCCTTGGCACCGTTAGAAGCGACTGTACCCGCAGGAACGGGCTGACACACTTCTGGGTCTTCAGAAGATTGGCCAGAACCCCCATTATGGCTCCGGAGGGGATCGAGCCCTTGTTAGAGCAACTCGGCTCAAAAATTTGCCTTTGTTTGGGGTCATCTTTGATTGGATGTGGTGATAAATTTCCAAGTGAATAGCGAGGGTTGGTTGAAGGTAAAATGAACTGCGATCATGTTCAGATGCTCATAAACTGTTAAATCCACTCGAAGGAGGCACAGATTTCATTACTGATCCAACAGAAGATGAAAGTGCGGGTGTGGCAGGATTCCAGCATCCCGTGAACGCAGGGCTTTAGTGAATGTGAAAGGACATGATGAGGTGTAAGAGTGGGAACCAGTCAAGAAGTCAGCTTGCTCCAACAGACCATGAAGATTAAAACTGTTCACTTCCAGGGTCTCCAAGATGTCTCTTCAGCCAGCAGAACAGGACGTGACCTGCTCTCCAACTCCCAGAGCCACAGTCCTAGCCACCTGATGTGGAAGCTCTGGTAGCCAGTGTAGACAACAGACTGGCAGTTATTGAGAAAGGCACCCAGGAAGCACCGACGGGCATTAAGAACATCCAGGCTTCCGGAATCCATATGGCTGTTCGTCAGAAACATACCACTAATGATGACCCAGCAGTGAATCTTCTGTGAGAAATAAAGTGCTGGAGATTTCTGGACACTTACAGGCACCTGTTCCTTCTGTCTTTAACAAAAAAAAAAAAGAAGAAGAAGAAGAAAGGGGCAGCTAGGTGGCACAGTGGGTAGAGCACCGGCCCTGGAGTCAGGAGGACCTGAATTCAAA